CACTGCTATAAACTTCATACAAAATTTTATCCAATATTCTTCTCTCAAGATTAAGTCCATATATAGATGAAATTATTGGGGATTATCAGTGTGGGTTTCGATATAACAGATCATCTACAGATCAGATCTTTTGCATTCGGCAGATATTGAAGAAAAAATGGAATACGATGAGACAGTACATCAGCAATTCGTAGACTTAAATTTAGCCTATGATTCATTTAGGAGGGAAGTGTTGTACAGTATTCTGATAGAGTTTGGGATACCCATGAAAGTAGTTAAGCTGATTAAAATGTTTCTAAACGAAACTTATAAAAATGTCCTTATTATAAAAACATTTGTCTGATAAATTTCCTATTCAGATTGGTCTAAGACAAGGAGATGCTTTAACGCCACTACTTTTCAACTTTGCCTTAGAATATGCAATTATGAAGGTCCAGGGAAACCAGGCGGGACTGAAATTAAACGGAACACATCAGCTGTTGGTCTACGCCGATGATGTAAATCTTTACTGGGTGATAACATAAATACCACAAAGAGAAACACACAAACTTTATCTGACGCAAGTAAAGAGGTTGGTCTAGAAGTAAACACAGACAAAACTAAGTATATGTTACTGTCTCGTCACCAAAATGCAGGGTAAAATCATGACATAAAGACAGGAAACAGATGTTTTGAAAATGTGGCACAGTTCAGATATTTGGGGACAACGATAACAGATCGAAACCTGATTCAGGAGGAAATTAAGAGGAGACTGAACTCGGGTAATGCTTGCGACCATTCAGTCCAGAACCTTTTGTCTTCCCGTCTTCTGTCAAAAAAAAACAGAAAAATTAGAATATAGAGAACTATATTTTGCTTGTGGTTTTGTATGGGTGTGAAACTTGGCCTCTGACTTTAAGGGAGGAACATAAACCGAGGGTGTTTGAGAACAAGGTGTTGAGCAGAATATTTGTACCGAAGAGAGATGAAGTGACAGGAGGCTGGAGAAAACTGCATAATGAGGAGCTTCGTAACTTGTACTCTTCTCCAAGTATAATTAGAATAATGAAGTGAAGGAGAATGATGTGGGCAGGGAATGTAGCAAGAATGGGAAAGAAAGGAATACATGTAGGATATTGGTGGGAAAACCAGAAGGAAAGACACCACTGGGAAGACCAAGGCGTAGATGGGTGGACAATATTAAAATGGATCTTAGAGGGACAGGATGGGATATAGATTGGATTGATCTGGCTCAGGATAGAGACAAATGGAAGGTTCCTGTTAACACGGTGATGAACGTTCGTGTTCCATTAGATGCTGAGAAATTCTTGAGTAGCTGCAGATTCGGCTTCTCCTCAAGAAGGGCTCAGCTCCATAAGTAAGTGAGTAAGTGTTTATTTTTGAAATTCAAGTTTTCGGAAAATGGATCTGTTTCCATGATTAGCAGTAAGGCAGGAACAGTGTTTACTTAGTCTGCCACGTTAGAAAGATTCCAATCGTCCTCTGATCGAGACTGGCTCCTTCGAAAGGGCCCAACTGAGTAGGAACTTCTCCTGCGTTACACCCGAAGACGGAAACAGTCCCAGTTTCCGAAACGTCTTATTAGTCCAGTTATCGAGACAGGATCTCTCTAAACGGTCCTTTAGTCCTTTACGCATGAAAGAGACCATTTATTGATGAAATTCAAGACAAAGGGCTCGTAGCATTATCCTCCCATCTCGGTCTCCTTCTTCAAGGCCAGTTTGCTTTCTGAAAGGTTTCCCACCAACGTTATGCACGAAACAGGCTTGTTCTCCTTCCTAGGGAATCGATCAGGGCGGTCGTCCAGGGGCCTACGTAAAACAGAAGTAGAATCCACAGATTTTATTAAGCCCTTTGAACTAACTAACTTCAAGGAGCTGAGTCTTTCTTGAGAAGCCGCCAGTTGTGCAGCTGTTCAAGACATTTCCAGCATTTTGTACAACCCGAAGGTTCATTACCGTGTTCACAACAGCCCTCCACTGGTCCCTATCATGAACCAGACCAATCCGGTCCATATCATCCCAAACTATCTCTCTAACATCCATTTTAATATTATCCACCCACCTACTTCTTGATTTTCCTAGTGGTTTATTTCCTTTTGGTTTTCCAATCAATATCCTATATTTATTCCTTTTCACCCCATTCATGCTACATGCCCTGCCCATATTAGGGCNATACTTGTAGAAGAGTACGGGTTATGAAGCTCCTCATTATGCAGTTGTCTCCAACCTCCCGTCAGTTCATCTCTCTTCGGGTCAAATATTCTCCTCAGTAGCCTGTTCTCAAACATTCTTAGTCTATGTTCCTCCTTTAATGTCAGGGACCAAATTTTACACCCATACAGAACCACGGGCAAAATTGGAGTTTTGTATATTATAATTTTCATGTTTTTGGACAGCAGACGAGAAAACAAAAGGTGCAGGACTGAAGGGTAGGAAGCATTACCCGAGTTCAATCTCCTCTTAATTTCCTCCTGAATCAGGTTTTTATTTGTTATAGTCGTTCCCAATATCTCAACTGTGCCACATTTTCAAAACATCTGTTTTCTATCGTTATGTCACGATTTTGCCCTGCATTTTGGTGGCGAGACAGTAACATATACTTAGTTTCCTCTGTGTTTACTTCCTTTATGAAGACATTTACTTCTCCAAATCACTAACAGTTAGTTTGTATTTTTGGTTATTATAAGAAGTACGAATAGAAAAGTTCGTCATAATCTAAATTTGTTGTTACTGACAAAGGCATCCAGTTTTGGATTTACCCGAGGCCCCCACAACTACAAATCCGGACCCTATAATTTTGAATTTCCTGCCACCTTACGAATGACGAAGTGAGCTGCGAACAGAATCCAGAAATTTTCTTATGAGAGGGAAGTCCTCAGACAAGGCTGCGCAGTGGTTCCCGTAGTAAGTGTCGCGTGAGAGTCTTCACTGCTTTCCGTTTGCGTCCGTCCCAAATACTTTATTCATCCACATGATGGTAGTTTCCTGCTACGGCCAACTTAACTCCCAGGGAAATAAGGTTCCCATACCTATCTCTTAGAAGACTGTGCCGTCTCCAGACGTAGAAACAAAAGAAAAATTTAGTATTGCCGAGAGTCAAATCTCGAACTTCCACTCCTAAGCCAGTCTGTATATTGATAAGTGTAAGCAACAGTGTTGTCAAGTTCCTGGCAATCAGTAAGAGTGTTACCAAGTGTATGGCAACAAAGATGCTTTGTCTGACATATTAGTCTGCTGTCGTAAATAGTATCACACCACATAGTGCAGTCAAGATTCAGGGCATAAAGTTTATAATTTGATTTGAATGAAGCCGTGAAATGTACGGAAACCGGAGTAGCTCAGTCAATACAGTGACTAAGCTACGGCCTCGATATCTGAGTCATCTCGTTTCGATTCTCGACAGGGGTAAGATATTTTCTCCAGTCCTTAGAGCCCAAACTGACTCTGAGTTCCACCAAGCTTACTGCAAAACGAGTATCGGGGACAGTTTCCGGGGTTTAAAGCGGTAGAAGCGCGAAGCTGACCATTCACCTCCATCTAGTGTGGAGGTTATGAATGATGGAGTTATACCTCTACTCCCCTTTTTGAAGTGGTGCTTAAATATTTCAGCAGAGGAACAGCTTTAGCTTTACCTTGAAATGGTTTGTGAATGAGGTTCTAGTCTGGCAGAATTCAATACATTTTTCATTTGTGGATTACACCAATTGTGAATATGTCCATGTGGTTATCAATACTGTAAAAAACCATGAAATTCTGCATTCGAATGGAATGAGCTCTCATATCTGGTTAAACCTTTACTTTAAACCCCAAATTTTGGTGAAGGGCACGGAAAGACTGCACAGTCGTGTCCAGTTTTAGGTGTTCTAACTGCCATGGTCTGTCCCTTACAATTGCACACTTTATGGACGTACAGAAATTGGGAAGATCTAAGTTGGTCCACGCCGGTCACGGTAGCCGAGCGGTCTAAGGCGTGTACTGTCTTCGCTCGCTCGGAAGCCGAGATCGTGGGTTGGAATCCCACTCAGGGCATGGATGTTTGTGTGCGTTTTTCTGTGTTTGTGTACAGGTAGAGGCCTTGCGACGAGCTGATCACCCGCCAAAGAGTCCTACCGTATGTCTAAGATCTAGAAAAACCGAAGTGAACGGAGAAGTTCATGGAGGTAGGCCTAGGCCCACTGGGGCTGTAGTGCCAAGGAAAAAAAAAATGTTGGTCCACGCTTTGTTAATGGTGGGTTTTTGCGCTAATTAAGACGAGGTAAACATCGTCAGAGCCGATCACGGTGGCCGCGCGCTCTAAGACATGCACTGTCTTCCCTCGCTTGGAAGCCGGGATCGCGGGTTCTGATCCCACACAAGGCATGGATATTTTGTGTGTGTATGCATTTATCCTGTGTTTGTATTGTCCTTTATTTAGGTAGGGGCCTTTCGACGAGCAGATCACTCGTCCAAGAAGTCCTACCATCTGTAAAATGATCATGAAACTGAAAAACGGAGGCCAGGGCCCAAGAGGGCTCTAGATCCAGTGAAAAGAAAACCATTATCAGCTCTGCAGGAGCTGTACTATGGGACCACCAGTCTGCTAGTTCCGGCTCTTAATCATTCAGTTACTCAGCCCTGAGTAAGTCAATTAACCAGCCATTCATTTACTGTCACTTATTACGCCAGTCATGTAAACTGTCTGTTAGTCAACTAACAGGCCAATCAGTTGCCCATTCAGTTATGTAATCAGTCGCTCAGTAGCGCAGGTTATCGAAAACGTTGGCACCTACCTACCAGACAACACTGTGTCATAACCCACCACAACACAGTATGGACACATCGGACATTTAAGCACTCAATTATTGTTAAAGTTAATATATTAAGTCTGTCTACGAATAAGGTAGTGCGTCAACCAAGTAGTTAGTTGCATAATTCACCAAATTATTCGGTCAGGAAGATAATCAGTTACTAAATATGAACATTTCTCCATCAGTAAGTCAGACCTAAACTTGTCTTCAGGGATGTGTGACCGTTACGATGTACCAGACTACACTGAGGACAGTAAAGTTCAAGAGTGCTGCCGTGAGAACCTGGGCCAAGTCCCGAGTCACACACACCGTTCTGAAGAGGACTTTTTGTGTTGCTCTCGTGCAGGGCGGAGCGCTGCCTGGCAACAGCCGCTACTGTCCCGGCAAACACAAGGTCATGCAGCAACCTGTTCGGCGCTCACAGCCACCAGGTACACATCGGTCCACTTACAATGGGTAATCCTTACTCTCACTCTTCTCTGCATCATTATCATTGTTCTTGTTTTTGTTGCTGTTATCACCACCATCACCAGCATCATCATAATTATTTTTATCATTCCTGTCTGTGCTCTGTTCTTTGAGCTGTCTTCATGTTCCTTTATTCTTTGTTAATCATTTACCTGTTCGTCTTCTTCTTGGTATTGCTATTGTTCTCCATGGGTTCCTTCTTGTTCTTGTAATGTTTCCTGTTGTCCTTGTTTAGTTTGCGGTTCAGAACCTCTGACTGCAGGATCTGCAGTCTGGTGGCAGTGGCATGTCCCGCTAATATAAGAGCAGAATATATCTTACCGTGCCCTTAAAGGTTTCCCCCAGGACCCTACCACGATCCAGTCAATCCAGTCCAAATTCTCATAGTCCATTTCAAACCTTGCAGCATCTTTGGAGGGGGGGGGGCATTATGTTACAAACCGGAAAGTCGTGGTTTCGATTCCCGATGAGTTCATTGGACTTTTAATCGATCTATTCCTTCCTCCCGCACCATGGCCCTGGGGTAGACTCACCCTCTAACAGAAATATCTACCAGAAATCTTCTTGGGGGTAAAAGGGCGACCGGCGCGTGAGGCTGATAACCTCACAATCGTTTGTGAGCCGACTGTCTGGAAAATGTGGGAGGCTCGATGTCTCATCCAGGGCCTGTTACAGGGATGGCTTTATCTTTACATGACGTTACTTTCCAGAATACGTAATCTCCATTGCAACCGCTGTGAAGCCCTTACTTCCTCTCAGTTCGGTCCACAAACTGGCTCCCAATTAACTGCAGATACTATAATTTCTTTCGCTTTGTAGTTTGCAGTCTGTTTCTTATTCCTGTGTTTTGTAGCATGACTCGTAGCTTGCCGGTCTCTTCCTCATGGCCAGATTTAACATTCAGAATGTGTATTTAACGTAATGTCCTACAAGTTCAAACATTCTGTGTTAAAGGCGTAGCTGCCATATTGCTTCAGTGCTCTGTCGCGTCCTCAGCTTCATGAAGGGGACACCCTCCAAATGTGGAGGGTAGCTGCAAATTTATTGAATAAGCAGTCGTGTATACGACTGAGAAAGGGGTGATTCTCTGGAGCGGGGGTTCGGAGAGGGGCTACCAACCTTCACTGACAGAAATAACAAGTCAGGAAATGTTTCACAGGGCCTCTACCTTGGACGGGCTCCTTGGAAAAATCGGAAGAAATGATAAACAAGTAAATAGTCTCTGCATTAACTAACTAAGCAGTAAGCAATGAAGGCGTATGGGGGAATAGATGTATACATCACGTTTTCTTGATCTAGTTGGAGATAAGTGGTCAGCTTTACTCTCCGGCCGCTTTACCCTGGGGGTAAGGGTCCCCAGTACCCACTGGATAGGAGGCTGGTTGGGCCCAAGAACTGGTCTGGACGGCGAGGAGAAGAGAAGATTCCTGACTTTAGCGGAACTCTCTCTCTCTCTCTCTCTGGATTCAGATGACTCAGCTGTCCTTAATGAAGTAATGAATCTTCGGGTTCCGTAATGTGCAGAAAATGTGTTGATTACATGCGCAACTAGCAGCTTATTGAAACTGCTTCTGCTCCTGGAGTTAGTTGATTGTAGTATAGCCAAATTTAGGAGATTTCAATCCGCCCTCCAGTTGTTATGTTTATGTAAAGTAAAAAAGTAAAGGTATCCCTGTACCAGGCCGTGAAGACCCATAGGCTTGTGAGATGTTGAGGGTCCCACATTGTCTAGACAATCGGCTCAAAGATGGCGGTAAGGTTGTCAGCCCTACGCGCCGGCCGCGCTTTACTCCCCAGGAAATTTATTTAATTAATTCCTGGTACTCATTTCTGTTAGAGGCTGAGTAAACCCCAGGGCCTAGTGCGGCTGGAAGGATTAGGTCAACTGAAAAAATCCAATGAAAAAAAATTGTGTGCTTTTATGACTTCTTTGCACAAACAGCGCAACATATCACGTGACAGGGAGGTGATCCTTGTTCACTGCGTTGTTACGTCTACAACATGTTATTCGGAATTTAATAAATATAACCTCTACAATAACCGAAGTTGAAATGAAACCGTATGGAAGGAAAGCAGAGATGACAGAGTGCGAGGAAGGTGTAGGGTTACAGGACTCAGGTTTGGGAACTCCGAGAGCGCTGGCATAGGTTTGCACAGATGTCCTGTCAATCTAGAAGCCACCTCAAACAGCTTGGAGCTGAGGATGAGAAATGTTAGCAGCAGGACAACTGAAACACAGATAAACTTAGTTCACTTCATGCTCCGTGGCCAGGAGAGGAACGACAGAACGGAGAAATAAAAGGAATGAGGACGAAGTAAAGGGGTAAGTTGGGAAATACTTAAAGCGATAGAGGAGAGGAAGCCAAGGTTCCAGGGAAAAGTTATAACGCCATGAAGAGCGACAAGGAGGGGGGGGGAATGATAATTGGATGAAAAAATAGAAGGGAGAAGAGAAAGATGGAGATATAAAGGGAATAAATGAAAAGAAAACGAAATTCTTTACCCAGTTATTTTTGACAGGCTACACATTACAAGTCGAGATAGCAACTGGCCACGGGCTGGACGACCGAAGGGTAGGAGTTCGATTCCCTTTAGGGACAAGAATTTTCTCTTCTCCACGTCGTCCAGACCAGCTCTGGGACTAACCCAGCCTCGTGCCCAATGGGTACCGAAGACCTTCTGCCCGGGGGTAGAGTGGGAGTGGGTGAAGCTAACCGCCCACTTCCAGCTAGTGCTGAGGTCAAGGAAATGTGGATCTATAGATTAATTCCCCCCTGCGTCTTCATGGCGTAGTGCTTAACTAATCAAGCACAGGAACAACTTTGCCTTTTCACCTTTTACGCACCAGAAGAGATAAAACTGAAGAGAATTCTAAGCGCCAAAGTGAAAACCGTATGAACTGGAGACCGGAATTTATACAGGCCTGCTCTGATATACTTCGAATTATATTACTTCTGTCTAACCGTTTTCCGCAAAGAGATTTCTCCCTGAGTTTAAGGATCCTGTTACGATTCTTTGAAGGACTTGTGTAAAAAAAAATGTAAACCTACCCCTGTAAGAGGCCATGACGGCCATAGGTTTATGAGACGTCAGGTTCTCACATTTTCTAGACAGTCGGCTCACAGATGGAGGTGAGTTTGTCAGCCTTACGCGCCGGGCCCCAGGAACAATCCTTGTAGTCATGGCCATAGCCACAGTGCGGCTAGAAGGATTAGGGTAATTGTAAAACCCAACTGCCTCATCGGGAATTGAATCCGTGACCATCCGGCTTGTATCATAGTGCCTAAGGCAACTACGCTGCCGCGTACCCCGGGGGCCCTGTGTAAAGAAACAGGAATAATTTATTTCTAGGAGAAGAGCAGTTAAAATTACTGAAAAATGAATTTAGTTTGTTCTCACACAGACTTATAGACGATTCTAAAAAAAGAAAGCCGCATACATTTAGAATATAAAAAAGTGAAATGCTGAATACTTAAGAAAACTAAAAAAAACACACTAATGCACTAGCAGTGAACCTACTAGACAACAGCCAAACTACGCATGGACTGAAAGATACACCGTTATTTCTCTACCAGACAGACCTGAGAAAAACTCCAATACAAGAATTAAAATTATACCTAAGTGAACAAGGTAAAGCTATCCCTGCAACAGGCCGTGGATGCCCGTGGGGTTGTGAGAGGTCGACTTTCCCACATCTTCTAGACCTAGACAATTGGCTCATAGATGGCGGTAAATTTTTCATCCTTACGCGCCCGTCGCCTTTTAGTCCCCAGGAAGATTCCTGATACTCATTTCTCGTAGAGGCTGAGTCGACCCAGGGGCCAAAATGCGGCTGGAAGGATTAGGTGAATTGAAATATTTAATGAACTCATCGGGAATCGAACCCGTGACCTTCCGGCTTGAAGCATTGTGCCGCAACCAACTACGCTACATAGTCATCTCCAGCTAATGCCGAAGTCAAGAAAATGTGGATCAATACATCCACTCTTCCATACGCCTTCATGATGTAGTGTTTAATTAGGTAAGCACAGGGACAACTTTACCTTACCTAAGTGAATAAAAGAAGTATATGAGTTACGCCACTGGACATAACTCATTCACGAGCAAGTACTTATTGAACATATAAATTTATTGCAGATTCTGCAGATTACATATAATAAATATGTGGGGAAAAAATACAACCTCTGGCCAAGTAAGGCCGAAATGCGTAGCAGTTTAATTGTAATTTAATATTATTTTAAATTAAGGAGAAATTATAAAAGACGTTATATTGATGACGGAAGTAAGTGTGTAAAGCCATACAGCAATGCAACAGGATTCTGAAATATAATATTAGGTAACTTACTTCTTGCTTCTACGGTTGCTCGGGACCAACAAGAATTTATTGCCCGTTGCACCATTTCGAATGTCCTTGTATGTAAGCAGAAACATTCATACGCAGACGCAAGAGGTCCTGCCTTTTCTGTATTTACTTTGGACGTTCATCATTTTATAAGACCCCATACGAAGAAATCAAGCCCGTTGAAGTTCGGAGATATCGGTGGCCAGCACAAGCAATCACAGATTCTCTTAATGCTCATTTAGGTAAGCTATAGCCTGACGACAAGAATATGGAAGTGTCCCATCATGCCTTGCAGCCTTCTTGAACCGTGTCCCCAGAGGCAAATCCTCCATTAAAAGCGGCAATTCCTTCATCAAGAAGTGTGGATAATTAGCAGCAGTTAAACGCTGTTCCGAAACGAGAGGCCAGTCAAGATAACACCGAACGTTCACTGAATGACGACACTGGAAACTGCTTCCAACGGTCCCGTGAGGATTAGCAGCGGACCACACGTGGAAATATCACGTATTGTTAATTCCATCTCGACTGGATTCTGCTTCATGGCTGAACGCGAAGTGATGAAGAAGCCAGCGATGTACAAGCATCTACTGTCAAAATTGAACACGAATATCACAATCAGGT